AAAAATCCAAACTAAAATCAATTAGTGATAGCTTTGTGTCACAAATTCTTCTATGGACCCTAGTCCATCTAGAAATAGGTGGATCATGCATATACTTTTGAACATTTAGTAAGAAAATATAAACAATTGCAAATATTGAACATTTAGCAAAAAAATCAGAACATTGCAAATTTTGGACATTTAGTAAAAAATACATGAACAATCGCAATGTACCAATACTTTTGAACATTTAGTAAAAAAAAATATGAACAATTGCAAATTTTGAACATTTAGTAAAAAAATCCGAACATCACAAATTTTGAACATTTAGCAAAAATATTTGAACAATCGCAATATACTACACTATACTTTTGAACATTTAGTAAAAAATCTGAACAATCACCTAGGTTTTTAGCGAGAAATGAAGTTTGTAGCGTAAATGTGCCTGTGGTACATCGCAAATTAAAATATATGAACAATCACAATATACTACGCCTATACTTTTGAACATTTAGTAAAAAAAAATCTGAACAATTGCAAAATTTGAACATTTAGTAAAAAAAAAAAAAATCGAACATCGCAATTTTTGAACCTTTAGTAAAAATATCTGAACAATCACAATGTACCATACCTATACTTTTGAACATTTAGTTAAAATAAAAATCCAAACATCACAAATTTTGAATATCTAGTAAAACAATCTAAACAATTGCCTTGGTTTTAGCGAGAAACGAAGTTTGTAGCGTAAATGGGCCAGTGGTGGTTCAGCTAGAAGCTATTCTAGTTGGACCAGAGTTCACAATAGACTTATTGGCTTTGTGTTAAATTTTTAAACAATGCGAAATGGGTCTAGGCAACCCGAACAAGGAGGAGGAGAGTTTGGTCCACATATATGACCCAAGGAGAATCCAAACAAAATCAATTGGTGATAGTAGGAGTAATCCTCTGCCTTATAAGTGGAACCATATCTTCACTTTCTCCAATGTTGGACATTACGAGTGGTCTTCAATGAGTTAATAATTGTAGGCTTTTTAGTAACACTATCTTTCTCCTCTTACTCTTTCATCTCTATTTTATTTGTTATTGTGTTCTTAGTTTTTGCTTGCTCAATTTATTGAAAGTTTTAAATTTAATCTTTAATTTTCTCATGAATTACCAAACTTGCTAATTGAATTATCTTTAATTCCACGGAATTTTAACAATTACATCTATTTTATTATTAAACTAGTGTGTGATCCGAGCGATGCCCCGGATTGCTAGTTTGTACTTCTTTAATTTGATAATTATGTTCAACTATTTGTATATGTGTGGTTTGGGCATTGTCTCGGGTGTTATTGTTTTTTTTTTTTTTTAAAAAAAATTATTTTTAATTCATATGTATTTATATTCTAATCTTGTGAAATATAAATTAAAAAAAAAAACCACTAGTTTACTTAATATATTAAAGAAATACATACTGTTAATTATGTGATTAGATTTAAAAAATTAATCAAAGTTGGTTGAGATGGTAAATGAATAACCTTTGTATTTTGGAGGTTAAAGGTTGATTCTCACTCAAAGCATAATTTATTTTGTTGAATGAAGTGGCAAGCTTACGTGGCGCATAAATCTAGTGAAATATGGCATTATGCAAATACTTTGAAGAGTGCCACGTGACACCTCTTCTTTAAAAGGAACACCTGAATATTTATTCTATTTTCATTTAAATGCAACACACTCTTTTGGAACACCCAAGTTTATAATCCGTTTACATAACTAAATCTTTTCCTCAAAGTGCGTGCCGAGAAGGTGTATTGCATTTAAAAAAAAATAGAGGAAGTATATATTATAGATTTTACGAATGTTTAATTTTCTAATTTAGAGTGTTTTATTGTATCAAAATTTTTTATGGTATATAACAACATCAGTATAATATAACCAACTCAACTTGAGGTCATAATATTGACTTTTTAAGGTTTAATAATTTGTGAAATGTCAATGAAACTGTAAAGTAAATTACTCATCAGATTATAAATATTTAGAAATTAAACGTGGATAGATTTACACATTAGTGATAATGGGAAAATTAATTTTAGTTTATATTATTTCATAAGTAATCAATTAAGGTTAATAAAACATAAGAATATATGTTACGCAATGAACCCGGCCTGGGCGATGGCCTCGGGGTACGTACACTAGTAAGGCCCTATTCTCTTCATCTTATTTTTGCTGAACTGAAATTATTTTTACTGAAACAAAATTATATTTGCTAAACTTAAATTATTTTTACTGAAATTAAATTAATTTTACTGAACTGAAATTATTTTTGTTGAACTAAAATTATTTTTACTGATTTTCTATTATAATTCTTCTTTAAGGCCCTGTTTGATTCACCTTAATTTTGCTGAACTGCAATTATTTTTACAGAACTAACTTAATTTTACTGAACTGAAATTATTTTTACTAAACTTAAATTATTTTTACTGAACTGAAATTATTTTTACTGATTTTCTATTATAATTCTTCTTTAAGAAAACTAAATTTTACCGAATTGTACTTATTTTTACTGAACTGAAATTATTTTTATTGAACTGAAATTAATTTTACTGAACTTATTTTTACTGAACTGAAATTATTTTTACTTAATATTATTATTTTAAGGTGAAGAGAACAGGGCCTAAGAAAACAAAATTTTACTAAACTGAACTTAATTTACTGAACTGTAATTATTTTTACTTAACTGAAATTAATGTTACTGAACTGAATTTATTTTTACCGAAATGAAATTATTTTTACTTAATATTAGTTTTTTAAGGTGAAGAGAACATGGCCTAAATCATATATAATAAATCTTCCCAAACCCATAAAATTGATTGATTATATCATATTAAATCAGGCACAAAAATCATGAGATTAAATTAGATAAAATCAAACCAAAATAGAACATATATCATACCATGATATTATATTAAATGAAATCAAATGGAAATAGAGTACGTATAAATCATATCATGATATCAGACCAGACAAAATCAAATCAAACCAAATTAGAATATAAATCAATGTCATGATATCATACGGAGTATCAAATAAAATCAAGTTAAAATAAAATATAAATCATATCACGATACCAAACAGATAAAATCCAGCCAAAATATAATAAAAATCATATCATGATATCAGATCAGACAAAATCAAACCAAATTAAAATATAGAACATATCATGATATCAGATCAGACAAAATCAAACCAAAATAGAAAATAATAATCATATCAAGATATACCGGATCAATTAAAATCAAACCAGAATAAAATGTAGATGCCCGGGTGAGGATGGAACTCTCAAGACGACATCCCCATCAAGATATCAGATCAAATAAAATCAAGTTAAAATAGAATATGAATCATATCACGATACCAGATAGATAATCTAACCAAAATAGAATATAGATCATACCATGATATCAGATTAGACAAAATAAAACCAACATAAAAAATAATAATCATATCATGATACCAGATCAGATAAAATCAAACCAAAATAGAATATAAATTATATTATGATATCATATCAAATAATATAAATCCAAGTTTAAATAAATTATGATTTATTTTATGATACTATATCAAATATAATCAAACCAAATAGTAAATATAGATCATATCATGATATCAAATTAGGCAAAATCAAACCAAAATAGAATATAACTATCATATCATGATACTAGATCAGATCAGATCAGGTAAAATCAAATCAAAAAAGAATATAAGAATCATATCATGATATTGGTTCGGATCAAATAAAATCAATCCAAAAATGAATAATAGAAATCATATCATGAAATTATATGAAACAACAACAAATATTAATTAATAACAGGATACTTGGCCTTGTTCAATTCACCTTAAAAAAAAATATTTTATAAAAATAATTTCCAATCATTAAAAACAATTTTCAGTTAAGCAAAAATGAGTTCATTTAAGTAAAATGAGGTCCGTTAACTTCACCTATTTTGCTGAAATGAAATTATTTTAACTGAACTGAAATTATTTTTACTGAACTGAAATTATTTTTATTGAACTGAAATTAATTTTATTGAACTGAAATTATTTTTGCTGAACTGAATTATTTTTACTAATTTTCTATTATATTTCTTCTTTAAGTTTACTGATTTTTACTGAACTGAAATAATTTTTACTGAACTGAAATTATTTTTGCTAAACTAAAATTAATTTTACTGAACTGCAATTATTTTTGCTAAACTAAAATTAATTTTACTGAACTGAAATTAATTTTACTGAATATTTTTTTAAGGGAAAGTGAACAGGGCCTTAGTTTCTGTACAGTAAAATTATTTCAGTTCAGCCAAAATAAGTAACTCTAAAGAAGAAATATAATAGAGATTAGGTAAAACTAATTTCAGTTCAGCAAAAATAATTTTAGTTCTAGCAAAATTAATTTTAGTTCAGTAAAAATAATTAAGTTAAGCAAAAATAAGATGAAATGAACGGGGTCTTAGTAGATTAATTTTCAGATGTTTATATTGAAGGCGATAATCTAACTATAATAAATATTTTACAGGGTCATTTTAATTGTCCGTGGAAGCTACACCTTCCCATGGCGGATATCAAGTCTATTTTGGACTCCTTTACGGCTTTTAAGTCACAATATATTTATCGGGAAGGCAATTAGGCAACAAATTTTTTGCCCTTCTCGGCTATTCTACCCCGGCCCATCAGGATAATTATTGACTCGAATGGATAGTAAATTTTCTTATTTTTTACACCTTGATAGATTAAGACATAGTCATGTGAGAAGACAATCCTAATCTCCTTTCATGTATCTTTCCTTAAGAAAAAAAAAAGAAAAAAAAAAAAAAGAAAGATACATACATAGCTTATTTGACAAACAAAACACAACCATTTTCATTAACCAAAAGAAACTTCAAATTCATGTCTTACATTCAAACTTGACAACCAAAACAAACATAAACTTAAACTAAAACACCTTAATAAAGTCAGTGATCAATACAAATCACTACTCAAAAGAAAAAAACAATACAAATAAATGGAACAACACCAACAATAACAATAGTACTAGTCCCTTAAAATAGGTCTAATAATAAGGATAATACTTAATGAAATCTTGATGTGCAGGAAGAATTTCACCATCTTCTTTGTGACGATACCTATAGACATTCACCTTAGCTGTAGGAGATGTTTTCCATGAGTCCAAGAGGTTAACCAGATCGACAATGGCAGGTGCATTCTTCTTGGTGAAGCGGTAATTCCTCATGCCAAATATAGCTAGGGTTTCCAAATTCACCGCCTTCTCTAAGAAGAACCTTAGCAATTGTTTCTCAATTTCACTAAACTTGAAGTTGGAGACCTTGACCAATTTGAGGAAGGGTAGTTGCTTTTCATATTGCTCAAATTTTTCTTTATCATTCAACAACCACAATTGGCAAGTTCTATCAAAAGCAAAACTTTGCATCTGTTCAATTAAAGAGATATTAATTATTTTGAATTTTAATTAAATATGAGTAAATATATTATGGAAAATGAATGAAATGAAATATATGGCTTTAAATTAAACCAATAACTCAACATGCATTCCCTTGTTTTCTTTAACAATTTTCTTCTAATTAATTAAGATATTAGTTTAACAATCAACAAATAAACTAAAGCAAATTTTATATTTGATTAAGAGATTATTAAGAGATACTCACATCAAAGAAAAACCTCTCAAGAACTGGGCATTTATCAAGAAAATTGATAATATCATATGGGTTGAGAAAGCTTGAGGTCTCCATAAGCAATTGAACCTCCTTTAGATACCAAAGATAAGGTTTTGGTCCTTTAATCTTTCCTTGTTCTAAAGTTGAGCAAAGATCCTAGCATCACACAAGAATTCTCCATTAAACAAATTCGATAATATATATTCAAACTTTATATATAGGTTTTACAAATATATAAGATCATTATAGAAGAAATTTATACGTGTTAATAAGATCCCCTTGCAAAAGTACAAGTTAAAGGGTTTGACTTTTTAAGATAAATTCAGATATAATGATCTCAAAAGAAGATGTTTCTAATGTAATCATCCTTAAAATGACTATCACTATACTTAATTTTCATTGGCCTGTTTTTTATTTTATTTATTTATTTGTTAATCAAACTTGTTAAAAATTAATTTTTCTTTTTTAATATCACTTTTTGGGAAATTAATTATTAATTAAAATGTTCTTTGAAAATTTAGAAAATTAATTTTTGAATTTTTTTTTTATATAAAAAAATCATTTTTAATAAGTTTGACCAAAAAAAAAAAAAATTCGGTGGATGAAAATCAAATACAGTTGTAATCATTTTAAGGATGTGAATTTTCATTTAAAAAAAAAAAAAAGGTTAAAGGTTGTGTACCTCAAGCAAGGTGCTAGAAATAGTGAGAACTCTAACATGTGAGACGAACGGCATTAATTTCTCCATTCTATTCTTTGGAACAGCATATGGGACGATTGTAAAATTGAACATTACATCTTGTAGTTCATACATTCTATCATTAAAATCCAAGTTTCGAGGTTTTCCAATGAAGTGAAAAACTCTCAGAGTTGGAGCATCGACAAAGGCTGAATCGAGCCGATAACAATCAGCAATTTTCAGTTTCTTGAAAAATTTTAAGGCACTTGCATAGATCTTAAAGTGACGAAGACCATAACATTTTACTATGTCCATGGACTCTAGGAGTGGGCTATTATCAACTACGGTTTTGACAAAATTCGGTTTTACATTGACATGCCTAAGGACCAAAGTACGCAAAAAGTGTAGATTTTTAAACTTTTCAGTTGGAAAATTTAGCACACAGTATGCAAACCTTAGGTGTTGTATGGACTCAATATCAAAATGTTGGAAAGGAACAACAAAGGGACCCGCATAAGGCCTTCCCATTAAAAAATCCAAGTCTACAACACTAGGATTTTTTAAAAGAACTATCCTTAGCCATATATGAATCAAATCCTCAAGACGGTTTGAATCAAGACATAACTGAAATGTTTCAATTTTCTTATTAGAATGACCTATGATGACACGATGGACTATGTCAGCAATTTCTGACTGAGAGTATTTTTTTGATAATAAAAAATTAAAACACAAGTAAATGGAATGTTGCCATGACTTTTCAAACCTCTTAGAGAGGATTGATGATTGGCTTGCCAATTTGATGGGTAATAAAGAAATGATGTGCTCAATAACATCATCACTAAGTGTAATTATAGGTGGTGAAGGGTTTTGGGTATGATCTATAAGATCACATAAAAGTTTGAGCTTTTTTTGTTGTGGATTATCTTCATCTATACTTGAATTACTCTCCATTGATGAATATAGATAGCTAAAGAACACAAATTTTAAAAGATGATTTTTTTTTTTATGATGATATGTAAACTTCTTCCACTTTATAAACATGTAATCAGAACTATTGTAATCTTCTAATAAGGGAGAAAACTATCCTTGATTTGCTCCAGCTCTTCATTGATCATTTGAGAGTTTCTATCAAGGGTAATAATCATTTTCTTTGATCATTTGAGATTTTCTATCAAGGGTAATAATCATTTTCTACCATACAAGAATTGATTATGATGATATTGATAATAATGATGATAACAATAATAATAAGGATGATGAAGATGATGATGATATGATGACATAAAATAAGTTTTAATAAGTTCTGATAAATTTAAATAAGTAAAAATCAGGTGAATAGAACAAACACACACTTAGGCTATACCTTTAAAGAGAAGTTGGATAGATACTTATTATGAAGTATTCCGTAGATGTATGAATATAAACAATTTTAGGAACTTAACACCACACCAATGTTAGTAATGGTAGTAGTAGTAGTGGAAAAAATAATAATAATTTTATTGCTTCATATATCAAAATTCAAAATCCAATCTTCCATAGACTTTACTAGTTAAGCTAGCTAACACATTAATTAACATTATGTATGTGTGAGCTAGCTAGCTAATATGATAAAGTGTATAAAAGATGGTACCTTAATTTTTAAATGTAAACATCACATTTGTTGTACAATGTACAAGACATGATACGTTTATGATTTTTCATCTACTTAGGTGTGATATGGCAAAGACTAATAACTTGAAAATTGGAATTTTGAATTTAAATTAAGTTCTAATTTTTTTAATTACCGTAGGCTTCACTAGATAAATTTTCCAAAAGTTTGCTAAAGGTAACTTAGATTTATAATGAATATACAAAAATTGAAGAATATGTGAGCGAGTGTAAAATGAAGTAAAAGAAAAAAATGTAAAAATACGAGGTTTGTATAGGAATAAGGTGAATAAAGTAAGATATAATAAGAAAATGAATTATTATGTAGAATAAAGCAAAGTGGGTAAAACATATAAGAAGATCTAAAATGAAAAATGGAAAAAACAAAAAAGATGGAGTAGTTAAGAATAACATAATAAAGATATAAAAAACAAGGAAATAAATCATATTATTTTAATTTAATATGATTTATTTTCTTAATTTTTGTATCTTTATCATGATTTATTTTATAAAAAACAAATTATAAAGGAAGTAATTAATTTTATTTAATTTCATTGAAATGAATCAATTTTTTCATAGAAATAAAAATAAATCATTTATATAACTAAATCTCCTCATTCATTAATAAATTCATGTAATATTGTAATAAAATGTCTTATCTATTTTAATTTATATTTATCGAAAAATACACGAAGTACAGAGTATGAGGTAAAAAAAAAACACTCCATATGTTAATTAATGTATTAATTGTTAATTAAAATTGATGTTATGATTAATAAAAAGGGACGAAGTATGTATGATATTTTTGGACTTGAAAATATATGTTCATAACATAACATGAAAATTTTGAAACTTTTGTTAGAAACTTATATACTAAAATCAAATTAACCTCATCAATAAACTAACATCAAATTATCAACAAATAAGGGACACAAATTATTCTAGTCCTTTTTAAATAATTTAAAGGAGTTTTTTTATTTTTTCATCAAAATCCAACTAAATCAAACAACTAGTCCACTATTTTTTTATTAAATGGTTATGGCAGGAGTAATCAACATAGGGTTGGTGTTACCATTACGCTGGGTCAGATTTATTTTTAGGTTGAATATATGATTGAGAATTTCTTTAATCAAATCTAACCCATCCCACAATTTATCGGGGTGAAAACCTCAACTTTGGCCAAATTTTAGTTTTACTGTTATTAAACAATTTACAAACAAAATTAAAATTTTGAGTTGTAGTTGACCTTTATTATTTCTTAAAAGTTAACACTAATTTCACATTTTCAATACTTTATTTGGGATTTATAATTGAAAACGCGTTAAGAAATGACAATTTTAACCCAAGAAATTTAATCAAATAAGTCATTTATGTCAATGCATTCGCTTAAAAAAATTGAAATTCCCAAACCTAAATTTTGATCAAATGTTCAGATCGAGTGATATCACAAGTACTAAAAATTTGATAGACAAATAAATAAAAAGAACTTATCTAATTGAGGAGAATAGCTCTACTTGAAACCAGCTTTCCATGCACTTCAGCCATCAAACTAACAAGTTGCTAAGAATTGATGCCTTAAGGCAAATGCTAAGGTTTTTGAGAATGCTTTATTTTTTTTGGAGAAAGAGAGAATGCTTTTTAATTTCCAAGAGATGAAAGATTCAATGATTTTTGGAAAAGAAGGCCACTTAAATAGCCTCGTGAAAGAGCTATAGGTTTTAAGTTTGACATAAGGCATTGCGTCATTAAACATCATAAAATCCTTTAAAGGTGATTTCAATAGTTGTAATACTTGAAAAATGATCGTATAATTATGCCAAAAAGATTACATACTATGACATACGTAAGACATTGCGTCATTAAACATCATAAAATCCTCTAAAGGTGATTTCAATAGCTGTAATAATTGAAAAATGATCGTGTAATTATGCCAAAAAGATTACATGTGACGTTAAATTGATCAAGTTGACGTCATAGAATCCTCTAAATTTAATTACAATGGCAATATTATTGAAAATTATCATGCAATTATGCTACAAGATTACAATGTAATGTAAGAATGACGCGCAATTAAGTCGACTTCATAGAATCGTTTAAAATATTATTTCATCCGTTTTATATTGATCTTTCTACTTAGAATCTTCTTGTGAGACAATATTGATCAAAGTGGATCAATATAGAATAGAGGGAGTATTAAAATAGCAATAGTTATTGAAAAACAGCGCGTTTCTGGTGCCGCACTATGCGACATGGTGCCAAATCAGCAAATGACAAAGTAACCCCACCAACCTAATAACCCTTCCAACCAAGTAACCCCTGATCAAACCTAGTAACCCCTGACCGGACCAAGTAACCCCTGACCAAACCTAGTAACCCCTAACCAGACCAAGTAACCCCTGAGCGGACCAAGTAACCCCTCAAGTACCCATCTAGTAACCCCTAACCGGACCAAGTAACCCTTCTAGTAACCCCTCCGACTTAGTAACCCTTCCGACTTAGTAATCCCTTAAGTAACCCCACTTAAGTAACCCCTCAAGTAACCTCACTTAAATAACCTCCCAGATAATCCCCTAAGTGACCCCTTCAAGTAACCCTACTTAAGTAACTTATCTAGTAACCCCCGACCTACTCATCTAGTAACCCCTTAAGTAACCCCGACCTAGCAACTCTTGACCCACCACCACCCCCAAAATGCCACTAGCCCCACCCCCAATACGCCATGCCACCACCACCACCACCACCATACACCAAACCCACAAACAAACATAGATCCAACCGAACCCACAACCAAATCGTTAAAAAAAAAAAAAATCGAACAAATACTTTTAAAATTAACAATGGCTTCGCATTTCACTTCAAATAAGGCTAAAAAGGCCAAATTCGACCACGAAAACTCCAGATCTAGAGTTTTTACGGCTGAATATTTCACGTCAAATAACAACCTGTAAGTTTTTTTTTGACGACGGAGTACGTGGAGCTCACGGAGTACGACGACGGGTTGGTGGAGGACATGCGTTCTTCCTTTGTAATTGCAGGTGGTTTGTTTTGCAAGTATGCTGCCCTTTTTTGGAGAAAGGAGGAGAGAAAAAGAGGAGAGAGAAAGAAAAAATAGCTTAGTGAAGGGGGTGAAATGAGTGGCTAAGTGGAGAAGAAGAAATTAAAAGAGGGGAGAGAAAGAGGAGTTAGAGAAGAGAGAGAAAAAGATTTTTAAAATAAAAAATAAAACTATTATATTGTGGCTGAGCCAGCCACATATGAAACTTTGTGATTGAAAAATGATTACGATATTATGATGATATTTTTCAAAATTATTTGCTTTAGCTATGATTGATGGAAAATTATGTTGAAAGTTAAGTTTTGCTAAGGATATTTTAAGTCAAAAATATTAATATATTGATCACATGAAAGAAAGTCCAACCAAAACTTTAACTATCAACATAATTTTCCATCAATATTATGGAGTAATATTTTTCCTTCTTATTTTGGGTTGGACTTTGCTTTAAAATACGGAGAGAATAATACTTTGCTTTGTAAACATTTATAAACATGTCAAATAATACTTAGGATTGTAAATATGTCAAATATCACTGATGTGTTTTTCAATTGTTTCTTAGGATTGAATGGAGAAAATGTCACGGTGTGTTGGGGTAGATTTAGTGACTTATTGATGCAACTATAGAGAATTGTCTTGAAGTAACCAGTGCTTGAACCTTCACTGCCTGGCTTGCATCAAAAGGGCGGCTGAAGGCAAGTTCAAACATAGGATTAAATTCATGCCAAACCCTTCCAATCTTCCATGGTTAAGTCCTATAGCTTAGTCACTGACGAGAGTTAAGGTAAGGTAGGATTAAGACAGCCTCAACAACGCCGGTTTAGGACTGGCCTTCAGTTTGGGACTGTTGGGGTTACAACAGACTCAACAGACTGACATATACCTTCTAAGATCTTTCCATTATTTTAGCTTGTAAGTTACATGCTTGAGTGCTCTCACGTTTGTGAGAGGGGATATTTTTGAATCTTGAGTGCACTTACAATGGTTTTATTCAGAATGAACTAGTACTGCCAAACACATGAATATCATTAACTTATACCAACATTTCATGATGCGTCCATATAGGTCACCTTGCACATAGGTCATCGATTCGAAAAGGGCAGGCTAGATAATCTATATACTTTTCCGTTCGAAACAATAAGAAACCTATAACTTGGTAAATTTTATCAAACCAACTGTACTTCAAAGTTGAAAACCCATAAACCTGACATGGCTCATTCCTGGCAATGATCTAAGTTAGCTATCTAGCACGCAAGAAATATAAGATATGGCACCAAGCCAACTTGTACAGTCTAAATGCTACATATTCACAAGCTACAATAGGCTAATGATAGTGCTTGACTTACACGAAAATGAAGTCTAGATTGTTCAATGAAATTGCAGAACCTGAACACTTTTCATGCCTCTCAGAAATTGACAGTGTAGAGTCACCTAAGCTCCTCTACAACTTCTCATCTTCCAACTTTGGATCCGAATCTCCATTGTCGATGCTCATCATGTTTTCTGCCGCTGAAGTATAGGAGAACCCCCAGACAGAAGCACAATTCTCATTACCTAAATGAACAGGTGAAGGAGACAAGTTACCTTGGTATGGATTTGCCAAGAATAAAAAATTCATTTGCAAGCCTTGACAAACAAGATGCACACATTAATTCATATGATTTACAATAAGTTTCTACTAACAAAATTCAGTTAATAAAACAAAAATTACACCCTAACTCTAACTCTCTAAGCACCTCATTATTCATAATTATTATCTGAAACATAAAAAACTCTGAAGTCTGAACTTCAATTCTTTTAAGAAGTCACTTGTTTTTTGGTTTCATAAAGAATGCACTTGTATGAACAGATCACTATGAGGTTTCCAAACCACTCTCTTAGACAGATAAGAAGACCTTAATGTCTAGGATTATCTCCTTTAATATTTAACGCCAAAAGGCTTAATAGTAGCTACTATCTCCACTTTCTTAAAATCACAATAATTTGACTTATGCTTGACACCAGACAACTTTGTCCTTTTATATTTTGATTTTTATATAATACCAGTTTTAAAAGTTCAGTATTTGAGATTACTAATCCAAAACATTTTACATTAAAATATTTGTTTACATATGATCTCTTTGTTATTCTATGCCTAGCAAACACTTTATCATCTTCAACCTATCTTACTCAATGTTTACACCATTCTAGTCACTCTTAATTAATCTACGTTCTATCTTACACTTACCATTTTACTTTTATCCACCTGTTTCTTACATTCACTCACCTGTCCTAGAAACCAAAGACTACAAAAAATGAGTACCTAAGAATTCAGGGGAAAAAAAATATGGAGGAAGTAAAATAAAGCTCGAGGGCAATCACCTAGTGCCCCTAATAGTTCTTTAGACAGGTCAGACAGCTTCAATGTCTATAGAGTACATAAGCAATTAAGCATGGAGAGTCCAGATGTAATATGAAGGTTTAGTTAATTTTTTTACTACAGCAAAGGGAAATTAAGTGCATCAACAGCAACAGGGTTTGAAGACTTACTGTTTGTGGTGACAACTTCTGCATCATCAGCATCATCAGGAAACCCAAACCTTCGATGTCCGGATGAAGTGACAGCCATTGGAAGGAATGGATGGAAGGAAAATCCATTCACAGTATCTACAGAAGAGCATGATAGATATAGAAAAAAATTAGTTTGACATCCAACATAAACAACATAAGCTATCCTGTTAATCTTGCAATATACTTTGTAAATGCTGAACAGTGCAATGAATACCTGATGCAGCTGCAAAACTGGATGCCCACTGCCCAGTCTGCAGATCATAAATGTGCACCAAACCATCCTAGCAAAAGGAATGAGATACAAATAAGATATAATGGATTTTGTGATCACTTACTAGTTATCTTAAGATTAATGTAGAATTAATAACATACCTGTCCACCTGTTCCAAGATGTCGACCGATGGGCTCAATGTCAAATGATATCCGCTGGTTAGTATGTTCTGTTGATCTATATAACCTACAGAGAGAAACCCTGAAGCTTAGTTCATTGTATACAACTGATTATCTAGCGAAGCATGTACAGAATATCACCAATGTAGCACCTTAAAACCATCCATTTGAGGAAATCAGAGAAAGGACAAACTAATTTAGGCAAAAAAATTGGAAAATTAGACCCTGCATGCTTTTACCACAAACTACTTTACATCTATGGCAACAGCTATTACTCATCAGATAATCAAAACCATAAATTTTGAAAAATTTGTAAATAACAATTGTCCACATATATGGGGAATAACAGCACAAGTATGGCTGCATGTAACACCTCATACAGTAATAATATAGTGCAGTGCGGCAGTGCCAATATTGTAATAAATAATAACAATTTGATTTATAATTGATAGCCATAGCAGTATATAGCACACAGCCTTATATTCAATATATATATTAACCAAGGAGAGAAGAATACTGCTTACTTGTACACAACCTCCACAGTATTACGCACATCCCAGCACATTATATAGGGATCCTTCAAAAAAAAAAAAAAAAAAAATTGCTTCAGCAATTTTGCAGCTTTTTATTATTAACCTCTAAAATTCAACTGATCCAGAATATTATACCAAGAGGGATATACAAACTAACAGGTAATCTGAAACCAAGCAATACAAGAGACCTTATATTAATAATATCACAAGTGACTAATTTACGCAACACAATCAACATTATAAAATAAATAAATAAATAAAGCTGCTTTTTTTTTAAAAAAAAAAAAAAATAAACAAAGCCACTTTTGCAATCCCATTACAAAGTATAGTTTTGAATCAGAATCCCTTCATTGTTCTCCCTTCTCTGTTCCCTAGCCACAAAAGTAATGTGCTTCAAAGAGGCATCATAGATTTGGTACTTCGAAAACCATTTGTAAGAGCGGAAGTAAAAAATGCTAAATCCAGATTTTTCAAGCATCTAGAGATCTACCAACAGAAGCATCCTCATAATTACTAGTGCTGGTAGTATCTCAACAAAAACCTAATTAACACTGAAGTCAATATTTGCAGAGACTATTGATTAAAAAAGAAAAATTAAGACTATAAAAAAATAAGTAAAAAGATACAAGACCTAAGCAAGAACTATAATACCATAAAAGCACCTACTCAACCAATGCACCCAAGAAATGTTTTACAATGGACACAAAATTATGTGTGTGTCAAAAGAGAAAGAGGTTAACAAAATCATCATCTGGCTAATAAGATTGCCCTGCCCCACATAGTCACATTCACTTTTTCAGAAAGTAAGGGTGCGTATATCTGACTGAACTTGCCTCCTCAATGGATAAAAAGCTAAAAGCAATGTTCAGAAAATCAGACACACTCCGACGTCCAAACCGAGATATCAACCTACATGACGTTCTAGAATTTTTATGACAATTATTATTTGTTATAATCACTTTCTTATACTAGAAACCTATGCATCAGAGTAACAAGATCTGGCTTAGAAGCACGATTTCAAATATCTGTTTGTACTAACAGTTGCACCTAGCAAATCTGAAGACACTAAAGTTCCATTGAATATTTATTCAGCATTCTAACAACAACTAAGACAAAAGGACCTATAAAAGAGATGAATATATTGCTCAAACATCCTCCAAAGGTTATCAATAACCACAACTTTTTGTATGCCCATATATCTACAGACTGAAGGAAAAGCCTCACCTTCCGAGCACCTGTATATAAATAGTTGCCATCCTTTGAGAACTGTAACTGCATAATATTAAAATTGTACAAAAATAAATTGCCAAGTGATAAATCAGTAATCACCACAAGAATCAAAACAACTGAGCAGTTAACAGAAAACTTACATGTGTAATCCCGCCTTCTTGTCCATGTAAAAGATACAAGAGTTCCATATTGTCTTCACTATATATGGCAGTAGTCTGGTCATAAGAACCAGTAGCAAACATACCAGAGTTTGCAGGAGAAAAAGCAATTGCAGATATGATACCTACACATGGCAAACAACAGTAGGTAACCTAATGAAAACAGGTATCTGACCAAAAGAATAACAATTAGAAAGAAAGATAAAATAAAATTCTAATTTGGCCTATTCTTTTGCTACCCTCTCCGCTCTCTATCAGCTGAATTTTTCCCATTGTGGAAATCTGAAAATATGTTCAGGATTTTTATTAATAATCATCTGAAGTACAACATGACAGAAGATAAATAGATATTCGTTAAAACTGATTAAGTTACTACTACCTTGATTATGCCAGCCATTAGAGATTGGAGGTTTAAAATGCTAATATTCACTTCACTAACCGACACATTCCTTGAGAAACACATATTCCTAACAAAAGCATAATTATAAACATACAATCACAGGCCAGGTTTTTGACACCGGATCCTACAGCGCGCTCTTGTCTTCTGTGAACAAGAGCGCAAGCCTTTTGGGAAATGGGCTTGTAAGCGCAAAGCAACACAAGCTAGAATCTGGATCTAGACCTAAAGGGCCATTCCTATCTTTTTGGTGACGGAGTACGGGTGACTGGGATTTGTGACAGCCGAGCTAGTCGAGGGGGGCACAAACAAGATCAAATCATGAATTCCTTATAGTGTCTAGTGAGTTAGGACACTAAATTGCATGTGACAACACAATATCTTTAGAAGTCTAATAACACACAAGCATTAAAGAAAGACATCACTTGCTAGGAAACTTCTGTATTTTTAATCATCACTTGCTCCCTAAAAGAGCTTCTTTTTAGATTTACATTGTTTAACACTGGATTGACAGAATGTTTATGAAATCTAAAGCCTAGAAAAGTCTAGGAAAACATCGAAAACATGGAAAGGAGGTTGAATCCTAACACAATTGTTATCCCAATACCCTAAATGACGTTCCCATCTAGATAAGGGAAAACAAGTGTGTGTGTGTGTGTGCGCGCGCGCGCGCGTAGAGAGAGAGAGACAGAGAGAGAGAGTGTGTGTGTGTGTGCACTCGCGCGTGGAGAGAGTAAAAAAATTTCATATAATAACTGTCGGAAAAATGACACCTACCCAATTACAAGTAACCTAACAATGACCTAAAAGTATATAAACAAATGATATTTCTAGGAAACTAGATAGAATTGGATATGGCAGTGGAAATTTCTGAGAGAAAGAAATTCCTATCTCCTTTTATTCTCTATGTTTTTGTATGCATGTGCGGAGCCATGACACATTATTCTCAAGTCAGAATACCATAAGTGACTCACTCCAAAGACGATATAGAGTAGGTCTGAACATCTTAATGCCGTGAACTTCCCTTTTCACCAGTGTGATAGGTTTACGTGAAATTTAGGAGAGCACAGATCCGTGTGACATAAAAGCATTATGGTGCCAGCATAGTGTATCACTGAACAAGTACAACCAACACCTCACACCTATCAGAATATGCCCGCAGAGAGGGGAGGGGGGAGGGCATGTATATACAGCATTAGGAAGTCAACATAATTGAACATGTAATTAGATGCTTTGAATTGCATAATTGAGAGATCTTTATCTAATTTTCATGCCTAGATACTTGCAGTCTACTCTTTCGCCCTTTTCCTAAACTAGTTTAAGTCCCATGCAATGCACGGTTTTTACTTAGCATATTTATAAATTATAATGTTAATTTTACAATAATTAATTAAAAATAAAAATCAATATTTTTAATTGAAACAAATACTTGATTTTCTTTTCCATAAAATACCTATTATAAAATATTATATGTCAAAATATTTTCATTGAATGCATGTAGAATATACTTTATATATAGTTGTCAAATTGAAAGTTAAATATTATAGGATATTATAAAATAATGTTCATAAATATTTGTTAAAAAAAGGAAAGTAAAAGTAGCGGGAATTTTTTTAATAAAAACCTGACAAGTGTCATACCAGATTCGCCTTTAGTATAATGTAATTGATGTTAATTCTTATCAACCATCAAGACTCTTCTATCAAGCCTTAAACCAACAATTAAGGTTAAAATTCTTCAATCACAATCCAACGCATTTGCATAAGTTGTACTAGTATCTGAAAAGGCAGAACGCTGTACCAGACTGCCCTTCTTTGGATCCTTGAAGAGTTGAATGTTGTTTGAAATCTTTACCCGGGCGATGCACATCAAATACCCTCAGTGTTTTATTGTACCCAGCAAATATCCTAGGAATTGAGAAACAAGGAAAAAGACAAGAATGAGATAAATCACTTAATCATTGTCAAATAATGCAAACAGTATAACTTAGGTGCAGTTCCTAAAATTTGGTGGCAGAACTTCAATGCCTGAACTTGACAACATACAAATATAAAGTGAACACTAGAAAAGCAAGAGAACAAAGAATCCTTCAAGCAACTCATGTCATATACTTGGTTCCAGTAGGGTTGAAAGCAACCGAAAAGGCAGCAGTAATCTCATCCATAGCATCAAAAGCTCGATATGTACAGCGTAGCTGCAAAAACAAATTTATAATTAGAAAAATAATTAAGTGCTAAAAAGAGGAAGACAGAAGCCAAGAGTTTTAGGCTTGATATATGGTAAATACAAAGAATAAAAACAAATAAGATAGCTTTTAAAAAAGTCAAAGAAGAAAGCATTATAGACTTTGAGCAATTATTTGAAAGATGTTAAGGCAATAAGATGATCATGAGAACATTGGCAATTGAAATCTACAGCAGACTCTTAAGCAGAAGATTTACAATAAAGGCACAGCACCTCACCGGTAGTTGAATCCCAAAGATGAATAGGGTGGTCACGAGTAGTTGTAGCAAAAACACAGCTAGTCGTATCTGGAGATAAAAAACAAGGGCAATGATATTATATATCAATATTCAAGGGTCTAATGGAGATAGCATCTCTGCACTCACTGATGTAAGATTAAATTGTTATTGCTTTAAGCAGGAGCCTCATGAAAGGAACTGCAATAAAGGCACACTAAACCAGAGATGCTATACATAAACATCACTGAACATGTAAAATCTTCCATTATGGAGTATGACTTAAATATACATGAACAAAAGGAGGTTAAGAGCCTGTAGTCACATACCTGAAGCTGACATGTAAGGGTACCAACAATAGTCATACACAGACTCCCCTTCATTTATGACAAGGTTGGCAGCATATGAATCTGCACCCAGACAATAAACTTCAGAAAGCTATTCCTCCATATTCCGGGGAGGGAAGAGAAGAAAAGGGAGGGGGGGGGGGCTACAGTATGCTTGAGATGATAGCAGAAAAATTCACCACAAAAAGTTGAAACATAAAAAGCATTTTATGGAGTTTTTTCTCAAAATTAACTCTTCTAAGTTAGGTATAGCCCCACATTAATTAAGAAAGAGATTTACATGAAGCTTGGTCAATTCTATTTGCAATAAAGCAAAAATTTTATGTTCATGTATACATGAATTAGACAGGTTCACAAGGCAGGTCATGTAATCAGGCATCAGCATTCAAATTATGTGCAGATCATATACATACTGGTACTTTAAGCAATTGACTCAAAGATAGTAAGGCAGAAATTAGTACGGAGTACTTTTCATTTTCTCCAGATTTAGGCAGAATAGCTGTCAGTAAGAAAAGGGATTCCGCAATCATTAATAGTTTTGCGAAGTAAATTCTCACCTTCATCGGGATCAGAGGAAAAAGACCCATTCGGGTAATCACTTTCATTATCAGGCCTGCATAAAAAGAAACAAGTTAACAGTAATCAAAATTATCTCGCTAATGTATATAATGAGCAGAAGGAGAGTATGAGAACAGCAAATCATAATCGCCTACTGCTAGAGTGCTTTGTGCTAGCTACTAAGAAGAGACTTTTTTTCTGTCTTCGTGTCAGCGTTATACACAAATACATTCACTAAATTTTGAGGTGAATTTTTGAGTAATAAAATAGAATAAAAACAATAATGTCAAGGTTAGAAGAGTAGTTCTGATATACAATTTCAGTTCCATAAATTTCTTACATTAATTTATAGAGTCTAGCTATTTAGCGGACTATTACTTAGCTAACATCTAACAAAAAATGATACATAAGTTCCCTTCATCTCTCTATAGCTTTCTCCATTCTCCCACTTCAGTTTAATCTTTACCCACACTCCAAGACATCTCAATTTCAATACAACTTAGATGGCTACCTATTGATGTTGGCACAATGTACTATGGAAAATCAGACACTACGGACAAATCAATAAACTCAAATAATCGTATCAAGGGACTGTCCCCGTGTGAAAGAACCATAACATACAAATATTAAAGACCGTAAAGGCTCATTCGATAAACACCACTCCCTCCGTCCCTTAATAAAATTCCTACTTCTAGCATTTATTCCCCACATAATAGAAAGAAGTAGGAATCTAATTAAGGGACGGAGGGAGTAATGAATTTACATTTTGGAAGCAACGGCTCAGGCTAATGTCTATGATAATGTTTGTCCACTTACAAATATCTCACTAAATTACTCATAAAACAACATTACCGCAGTTATAATGCTCTTTGGGATGGAGTTTCGTTATTGGCACGAAACTTTGTTACAAATAAATTCATTACCATTAGCATAGTTTATTACCGCCTATCAAAGTATTACTTTGTTTTATAATTGCAAACCTAGAAATAAAAATAAAAGAGAAAGAAATACTGACAATGAGAAGAGGCGAAAAGTGTTATCATCAGAACTGGTAAGGAAGCATGAACCATCAGGCGACCTGCACAAAATCAACAGTAAAATTAAATTTAAAAAATTGAATAAAATTGTAAACAAAAATCAGAAATGAAGAGGAGGAGGAGGAGAGAGAAAGAGTACCATTTGGCGGATTTGAGGAAGTTGTTAGGGTTAGAATGAGAGCGAAATTGGCGATGAAAATGGTAGTTTCTGTGAGGTTGAATGTCGAACCTAATTTCTGGCCATGAATAAACTTCACTTTGATTATCAATGGTTTCATCGTTTTCTTCAAAGTGTTGTTCTTGTTCATCTTCTTGTTGCGGCTGCTCTTCCGCCATTGAAGCACTGGGTATTAGAGCTGCCAACTTCACTCGGTTTTTTTATTTTCTAGGAAGCTTGAGCCTTGAGTCACTAGTATCTACTGTAGTTATTATAGTCTTTCATCTATTGTTGATTTGTTGGGCAGCCAGAAAGAATATGAGAAACTAGAGTTCGCAGCTTAGCACAAGCCGGGCCTGTGTACAAATTCACAATCTATGTCAATGGAATGGACCTCATGGTGTTCGAAACAACCCAAAAATCGAACTTTTCGCAACTTTAGTTTTAGCTCATGCACAATTTGACTCGCATACCAGGTTTGTGTTTCACCAATTGACTCTATTGGATTGGAACATTTTATATAATTAACGGGTTAGGCTCTTTGAAACAAGAGGAAAGGGTAAAGGAATCCCTGCATCAAGTAACCTTATACAAAGTACTTTTTTCTTGCAAATGGTCAAAAAGTGAGTTGTCATATGGATTGTCTTGTTTTGTGGTAAGTTTATGTTAGGTTAGACTATTTTTGTGTCGGGTTTGGAGAGTTCTTCAGTTAGCTAAACTTATGTAAGTCACATCTAGACCATGCCTATCACTCTATTAGTACAGGTTTGGGCAAATTTTACTAGCTATAGCTTGTTGTTAGCTTGTCTTGTTCAATGTAACAACTTTAACACAGCCATTTATTGCCTAAGGGCCTGTTCTCTTACGTTGAAATTCAGTTCAATTCAGCTCAATTCAGCTCCTAATTTCCTTCTCTTATAAAATATTCATTTCAGTTCAGTTCAGTTCAGCTCAGTTGAGTTCAGTCAATGAGAACAAACCCTAAATTACGTTTTCTTTTTATACAAGAGCTTATCATAACATATTACATTACATTGGCTAGCTAAAATTATTTATTTTTAAAAATATTGTAGAAAAATAGAAGTGGCTTTTTATGATTTGAGTTGTGTTATAATTACATTTATGATCAACACTTCAGTGGCTTTTTACGTGCTATTGTTTGGAATTTTTTTACACAACCAAGCTAAGCATGGTCTAGTGGAAAAATGTCTATCTTGTAAATATAAGAACAAAATAACCTGAAATATTGGGGTATAATTAAGATCATTCTCCAAGAAAAGAGAGAGAGAAAAGTGCCATAAGGCGCCCATAAACAATAATAATAGTGTGACACAAACCATAATGCAAACATAAAAAAAACTAGGGACATTCACATCAAAGCACCAAGTAGTCACCATTAAATTTTTACCAAATTACAAACAAGCTATAAGTAATAGCTACATAGAACAAGTAGTTACATTCAGAAATTCCCGGCTTTCACGTACAGCTGTACCAAAACTGATACAAACATGCCTGAATATATGGAGCATTGTGTCTACAGCCAGCAAAAGGAGACATGAATCTAGAGCCACACTGTATAGATACTGTAAAAATACATCATGTTTATGAATAGTAAGGAGAGCAAACTAGCACATAGCCAACTGAACTCGGCCCAGATGGACAAGAACATCTTCCATTATTATTATATTTTGATGATAAAATGAGAAGATGTATTGTAATAGTTCTGTTTCCAGAGATCCATTACAATAAAATTATCAAATGAAACATGTTTCTTCATATGCAATTAGTCATGACTTAGTGTGGCTAACAGTGGTCTCCAACAAGCTGTTAAAATAGGGATCATCTTTGTACTTTGAGTAAATGGGCAGCTCAAGAGCGCTCTCTGCTATTCTCCGGTCCTCATAAATCTTTGCTACAAGACTTTCCAATGAAGGAAAATTGTCCTGTAAAATTCAAAGTAAAAAAGGCCTTAATCATGGTATTCATAGTAGAGTGGAAAGGGAATAAAGTTTACACAAAACACGTTACCTCAGGTCGTATATAACCAACAACAATAAGGCGTAATTCTTCTCCATAAAAGTCATCCTCAAACTCATGCAGAAGCCAAGGTTCCTTCAAAAAAACAAAAGGATGTTAAAGATAAATCTTATAAAGTAGTGAGAGGGGAAAAAAAAAACAAAAAACAAAAATGGGGTAGACCTCCATAAAATTCATGTTCCACTCACTATTGTCTTCTCTGGATTGTTGAAGTAAGGATTCCAGCCAATGCTCATAACCATCTTGTAAATTCCGCGTTTGGAAACTCCCGCCCAACCAAAGTATACACCAGATGGATATTCAGAGAGAACATTTGAGTAGCTATGTGTGGACAAATTAGCTACAAAATATTGATGAAATGGTCAGAATGCAGATTCTGATATTGTCAAGAAATTATGAGCACAAATATAGCATGCCAAAATACCAATTAAGCTAAGTATTATTACAACGTATTAGTAACAAACCGAAATGTAAGAAAGTACGTCATTTTTTGAGTCATTCAAAATTTCATACAGTTATACACTTATACAGTATAACAAAACAGTTAATCAGGGCTAGTGGGCTGCTGATAGAAAGTAACTAGCCCAAGTATGATGAGTGATGTTAGTACAAATCTTGAATATGGTTCACCAATCCACAAACCAATTAATCTGGATTCAGAATTTGAACCATCCATTCAAATGTTCAGTAGGCTCTTATTATATTATCAGGTTTAAATTCACACAAATCATCCAAATCTCTACTTCAAAGATAAAAGTTGTGGAAATTTATCAAACATATTACACAAGACTCTAGCAAATGTCAGATACATTATAATGGAACTATTGTTAATATATATATATATATATATATATATATATATATATATATATATATATATATATATATATATATATATACTAGTTTTGTGCCCGTGCGATGCCCGGGTTGTTTATTGAATTTTAAGATATATTTTTAATCTATATGTCAAATTTTAAAACATATTATTGATACAAAATTAGTTAAGAATTGATGTGTTTTTGTGACGATTTAAACTTGTAGACATGTAATAATGACTAATAATAATAATATTGGTGAAAAATATTTTTTGACCCGTAACCTGAAATAATGACCCTGCCTAAAATGATAGGTAACTCGACCTGATTTACGGGTCTACACACAGTAATAAAATTATATTAGATTGTGAAGTATATTATTTTAATTGATTAGGATATATTATAAACAATGGATGTGGTACATTTTAAACTAATTCCTTCGCTCCAGAAAAATATTATGATACAAAAAATAAATTTATATGATAATTTATGAGAGTTATAATCTAATTATTTTTTCAATAAAATTATAATTTAATTTGTACTTTATTAAAAAAATAAAATTCTATGATAAAAATATTGGTTCTTTATCAAAAATAAAACTCTAAATTAACAATTTTATCCTAAAATTCTATCCAAATTTGATTGAAATAAAATTCTAAACTAACTTTTTTATCCTACAAATTGAATTTTATATAACTCTATCCTACGTGGCACGAGACTTGGCGAAAAGTTGGAACGCCAAGTGTCACTACCTCGTCGCCTGGCTAAAAGTTTAGCTTTATATATATACTAGTTTTGTGCCCCGGCGATGCCCGGGTAGTTTATAGACTTTTAAGATAAAATTATAATACCTCCGTTAAATGTTATGTGTAACATTGACATATTTTATATCTCTCAAATAATACCCCAAAATTGCACTTAACATTTAACGAAGGTAGTATTATAATTCAATTTGATTGAAAATAGAATTCTAAATTAACTTTTTTTTGCTACAAAGTCAATCTATATTTATCCAACGTGGTACGATATTTGGCGAAAAATTAAAACACTAAATGATGTTGTCTTGTGGCCTAATTATAAATTAATTATTTGATATTTTATCGAAAATATATCTCTAAACTAATAATCTTATTCTAAAATTCTATCCTAATTTGATTGAAAATAGAATTCTTACCTAATTTTTTTATCTGATGAAATCTATCTAAGGTGGCGCGACACTTTACGGTTTTTTTTATCAAATGAAGTCTATTTAAATCTATCCAAGGTGGTGCGATACTTGGCGAAAACTTGGAATGCCCTGTGCAATGCCCGGATTGTTTATTGAATTGTAACATAAAATTTAACATATATATCAAATTTTAAAATTTATCATTGATACAAATTTTAATTATAATTTGAACATCTGAAATATTGATATTTTATCGAAAATAAAACTCAAAACTAACAATTTTATCTTAAAATTATATCCAAATATAATTCTAAACTAACTTTTTTATCTGGTAAAATCTATCCTACGTGGCGCAACACTTGGCGAAAAGTTATAACGCCAAGTGTCGCTGCCTCGTGACCTGGCTAAAAGTTTAGCTTTATATATTAGTTATATGATATATATAATTACTGACTAATTAAAACACACCTGTGGGGATGCCAAGTACCTTTGAGCCACGGCCAAATCCCTTAATATATAGCAAATAAATTACTGACTAATTAAAACACACCTGTGGGGATGCCAAGTACCTTTGAGCCACGGCCAAATCCCTTAATGACAGGACCACCAATGTGCCAAGGATCTATAGGAAGGGTTCCGTCAATCCCTGTACAGTTTCAGGGAAATATTCAGTAACATAAACTGCAAACAGCATCCCATCTCTGACAGCTTTTAATTCTGGCAATTTACAATCTTGAAATGGAGGTAAGCTCCACTGCTCCGGACGAAAATCAAATAGAGAATTAATGACTTCGTCTGCCATTGTGTAGAGATATGATTGTTTTGGCTGTGATGGTACAGCAATCACTTCCATTCCAGCAGCCTTGCCTGCAGTAACACCAGGTCTAAAATAGGCAGAAAAATTAAAGTGTCAAGCATGACATATACAGCACATAACACAATGCTAACTAAAAAAAATTAACTCAAAAAGAAAAAAGGGGAATCGTGTTAAAAATCAATATGTTTAAAACAAAGTGTTCTTAAAGTTTGTTCACAAAGGTTAAAATTTGGTTTCACACACCGAGTCATCCAAAAAAAGAAGTATAACTACATCGTAAAATAACTTGAAAAGTATGCAATAGATGGCAACTTTTATAGACACAGAGTCGCAACAGTATAAAATATGAATCAGTTGATCTTGTTTACACCCCAAGATGTTTACTGATGATTATAAGATCAAAGTTTTTATTTCTCTCATCAAAAAGTAATGTAGAGTTTTTGCAGAACTATTTGCTACATACACATTAAGTGATGCTTGTAAACTTTTGGTTAAAAAAAGGGGTGCACGGTGCACCTTCGGCCTAGGGACACCTCATTAAAATAGCTTCACCCACCTCAGAGCCTAGGCACACCTTTATATACACTGCTGACAGCCAATACTAGATATCTTTGGCAGGACACTTACATGGAATCTTCAATAACGAGGCAACTGGAAGGTTGGACATTGAGCCTTTTGGCTGCTTCGAGGAACCTTGCCCAAAAAAAAGAATTAAGCACATTAGAAAAATTGTTTAATTAGATCAAACACAGGTTATTTTCCAATTCCTCTTCTTACCAACACCACAACAGCCCTCACATAAATGCAAAAGGATTACAACCTACACCCTTAATTGATTGATGCACGAGGAGAAAGATATAACAAAAAACTTTGCAAACAGAAGTGTACTTATTACTCACAAATCAGCAGATGGCTTTCCAGCTTTAACTTCATCTCCACCAATTACAACAGAAAATGATTCTTTCCAACCTACAAAATGAAAATGAGTAAGCATGATGATGGATGGAGAAGCCATCAATAAAATGAATTAGGCTTCAAGATTTATGTACCGTGGTGATAGGACAATTTCTTCTCTATGGAAGTTCTAGGAGAGTTTGAAGCCAAGGCAATCGGTATTCCATGCCCATGCAAATGATTAATCAGCTGCTTGGCACCTGGAAGAGGTTTGATGTTGCTCAAGCTACAGTCAAAATTGGAAGAACAATCAAGCAGAAATCAATAATAGAGGGTTATCAAATTTACGGATTGCAGTATTTCAGATGAATATGCTTATCCTACTCAAAAAAGAAACAGTCATGCTTTGTCAAAAATATTCAAGCGAAAATACAGACACTCTGTTCCGCAAAGAAAGGCTATATGAGTAATAAGTATATACAACCATACAGAAATGGCACAATCAAATGCCAGCTTTCCAAAGAAGATGATGGCTGAAACAGAAAAAGTTTCAGCTTTCATTTGAACAAATTTTGCTACACATAGCCTTGTCCTTAATCAGAGTTTCCTAATATCCCAAATCATCACCAAGATGGTTTACAAAAAGAAAATAACACTCGGATAGAAGAGGGACAATCATTTGATAGAACATGGAAGTAAGCTAGAAGATAAATTCCGTATTTAAGTATGAAAAATGACAAAGTGAAGCGAAATCAACAATTGTCAAAATAGATTTAGTAATTGATGTGAGATCAATAATTATTATGTGAGGGAGAAATCACAAAATTTTAAACTCAATAGCTCAGGAATAAATTCCAAGAAGCCACAATATAAGTAAATATATCCAAGAAGGCAATAAAAAAAAAGTAAAAATAGATATTTGCTATGATATAGAGAAAAGAGAAAAATATATTTGCTTCACATGCTTGGAAAGTAATATTACTGTTGACGTTCCATAATTGGCCAAAAAAATGTCCACGCTTTAGAATTTTAGATACAAGCAGCACTTGATATTTGCTATTCTACAACACACAAAAACAAGAAAACACAAGTATGACAACATCAAACTTTTGACTATTGATCCTAGAAATTATTGCAGGAGGACTAGGTAAGAGTTTCTTTACTGATCAGAGAGCATTGGGGTGAATTCTTTTTCAAATTCCTCTGCCGTGCAAGGTAGGTTATAAGCTTCAACAACAGCAGCAGATGCTTCCAAGGGGGTCTTTCCAGCTATCCTAAGCACCTCTCTCCCATCCCACTCCTTTCCATACTTAATCAAGAAACTCTTCAATACATCAAGTATTACTCCATCTGTAATAAAATTGAAACTAAATCATCATAAAGCACCTAGAAGTTTCAAAAGGCGTGAGGCATGATGTGCACACTAATAAATTATTGGTCCTAGAGTTCAGCAATAGGGTGAGAGGTAACTGAAACCACCTTGGCAAAGAAAGGCACGATGTTTCTCATTCAGAATCGCATCTTACAAGAGTAAGAAATAAAATCAAGAAACTCCGTGATGCTATATCAAGCATCACCAGATTTCTTAATTTTGATAAAATATAGAACAAATTAGAAACAGTAATTTAAACAAGTCTGCCTCTTATCCTCAAGCACCTCTAGGCTGTTCTTGGCAAACTTAAGGTGAGCATCCCTTAAGCCTTGTTGTGCTTGCCTTTCTAACATACTGGCATGATCCAATATTGTTGACAAGCATAGATATTTCAATTTCTGTATCCTCAAAAACCATTCAAATCACATCCCTAATATTATTTTCTTTTGTTAATCACTTTTAGTACGTAGATCAGATCACATTTTCACAATTCAAGTGCCTGATACAGTAGTCCTGTCCATTGTCCATTTCAGATAAAGTACAAGATTAAGTAGAATGACAATGATTCAACCACTGAGAAACTTGCATATGGTTTAAACTCATTGAGAAATACTCCCTTCATCTCAGATAAGTTTCCACAAACGCTTTTTCAGTCTCCAAAGGACACGATATTTTACCATAACTATCTCAAATTGCAAATTATAAACGGTACATAAAACATAGATGTATTGGAAGAACACATTGTGATGAATCTAAGAAGACCGCAAATGACTACAGTTTTTCTCATATTATTGGTGAGAATTTATGGTCAAAATTTGTGAGTTTGATCTTGATATGCAATTTTAGCAGGCAGTAGCAAACAATGATTGCCTATGAGAGTGAGAATTTTTTTTTAAAATTTATAAAAAAAAAAAAAAAAAAAACAACCTCTCTTCATTGCAATACATTCAGCATTTCAACCCCCTAACCCACCCTAAGTGGTACGAACAAGAAAAAATAAACAAAAAGGGGGGGACTTGGGGGGGGGGGGGGGGAGTGGGGGGACAAGAGCAAAAACAAAAACAAAAACTCTCTAATAATGATCCTCAATATCTACTGCAAATCTTAAACAAAACAAGTACAAATGTAAATTGAAATAAACATCATTACTAAACGATCACAAAATTGTCTTCGTAAAGGAAGGGCTTAAACTGATTTTTCAAGAGCCAATGATACCGCATTGACCATCTCTTATCCCAAGTATAATATTTAAGTGATGGTCAATGCACAGACAACCGAAAGCTAAAATCCCATATTCCCATCAACAACTATAATTAGTGGGAGTCCACAATCAAACAATTCAAATCTAAAGGCAATGCAAAGTATCTCCAAATGAACTCTCTAATCTTTCTTTTCCATTTCTCTCCTCTGGATACTCTATCGGAAAATAAAATTAAATATACTAACAACCCAAAACATTTGAAGAGACTAAAAACATTTTAAGATAAAGAAGCATTGTTAAAAGTCTTGCAATTTGCAAATTGTTAGGATTCTCAGGGAAAATCTACCATTAATCTCTCTATCCGAAGCCTGCAGGAGAGGGAAGGAGGGTGGGAGAACTCTACAAGCCCCATGAAGATGCAGCCCAAAATTCCCATTGTATCTTCTTTACTTCAGTTTTTTCCAGTGTTTTAAGTCCACAATCTTCTAAACACTAGCAGCTACAAGCAAACAGCTGTAAAAGGATTTCCTTGATTTCCTTCACCGGTTCACAACCCATATTCCCAATATTGTAAGAACAATTACCAAACAAGCAAATTCACCAAAGATCACATAATATTCCATTGTTTTATGACAGTGAGCACATACAAGGTTCAGCCACCAAGCTTCAAAAGCACAACATAAATTATACCCCGACTGTACTGAGTATTTGAGTAATATGAAATTGAAAAAATTTCTTCAAGATTTGATTTGCAGGGTGGGGGATGCAATTCATAAAATTTTGGTCAATTTTATGCCAATTTCCATGCCAACCCCACACAATTTAATGCATGAACAAAATAGCATATATACTATTGATCTCCCCTCATAAAAGATGCATAACTTCATACAAGTTTAGAAAAGCAAACAACCCACCAATTGATAAATAGGAAACACAAAACATTAATTAATCACACCTGTATCAAGAAGTGTACCATCCAAATCAAGGATCACTGAAAAAACTAATTTCTTAGCAGGATTAGATGTTGTCATCTTGTCGATCACAAGAAGCTCCCACACCTTTGTACTTTATATCTGTAAGGAATAACATAGACATCCACTTAGTCATGTATTACAAGAATTGATCAGTATCTACTATCTAACGAATCTACACAATGGGAACACAGTATCAATTCATCGTCTTGCAAAAACAGCTGTTAAAAGTCTTAAAACCCAAGTTGCAATCCAAAAAACAAAAAGAGAACGAAATGAACAACAAAACTTCAAATCAATACTAAATCCATCAAAGCCTCCGATTGAATCCATAATAGTAGCTAACTATTGGCATAAATGAGAAATAAGTAATGAGTAGAAAGACAATTCTTCTAACTCTACCACAAAACAATGGTTTCTGGGTACATGATTCCGGCTTCAAATTTTCAAAAATAAGGCTTTGGTGGTATTGTTGTAGTACCACAAAACCTGTAAGGATTCAGGATTTCAAAACTAGAGGCACAAACTGTAAACTGATTCAAGACTTTCAACTACTACATAATTATATACAAGATACGAAAATTGTTGAATAATTAATATCATGAATTGATTAGATCTTATCCATCTTCAAATTACAGTTAAACTACAAATGTAACATTCGTTATTTAGAATAAAATTTACAGTATATACAATCAGCTCAAAAACAGTTCCAACAATAAGAATAGACAATTAAACAATTTCATAATACCTCATCATCCTACAACAACTCAAATCAGTCAATCAATTGCCTTAATTTAACAACAACAAAAAATCATTAAATCAATCGCAATGAAAAAGGTGGCATTTGACAGCATCTAAATTTAACTTTCGAATTGTAATTTAAGACCAAGTGACAGGATATAAAACCAATTAATCAAAAAATAACGAACAAAATTGATGATTAAACCAAACCCTAAATTATCTTTCTCATCAAGTATCAACCAGAAAAATAAAATTAACACTAAGTAAAATAATTATGCACAAAATAGCAACAAATGAGCTGATGACCTATCAAAATTTCCAACAAAATATTGAAAATTCACCAGAATTGCTGGAACGGAAGTGGCCTGGTACTGCGGCTGGCGGATGATATGGCTTGATGGTGTGGACAATGCCACGATCGACGTCGTTCGCCGGTGTCAATTGTAATGAGAATTGTGAGTTTTTTTTCGTAATAATCGCAACACGGTAAAGTTTCAAGATAATTATAAGTTGGTTATTGAGGTAAATTTCATTTGTTTTTAGTTCAATTCGGTTCAATTCAATTCAACTTCAATCAATTTATTTCAATTTCATTTCTATATCGTTTGATTGTGTCAACTCTAATCAATTTTCGGTTGTTTTCGGTAAATCATAGGGTTGTTCATCGGTCCAAGATCGGACCGGACTGAAAATTAGAATTTTAAGAAGTGAAGACCTGATCGGACCGCTTTGTACCGATTTAAGATTTTTTTTAAAAAGAATACTAAATTTTTATAAAGTTATGGAAAACACAAAAAAGTAAAGGAAAAACTATATTTTGACGTTATTTATACGTTTTTTTATATGTTTGGTACAAAAAAACTTATAAAGTTAAAATTTGCTAAGTTTATTAAGGATAATTTTAACCATTATTTAAGGTTTCATGCATAATTTTAATAAAAAATTTGGTCCGGTCCAAGACCGATTTTTTATAGGGTTTTGGACCGAAGCGGAACGAAGACCGAAAAAATGAATTTTAAGACCCGAAGACCGGACCGAATAATTCGGTCCGGGGTGGTCCGGTCCATTTTTTCGGTTCAGACCGATTTATGAACACCCTAGTAAATCAGAACAAGCTCTGACACTCTCATTAAACTACTCATACTTGGTTAAAGCTTGTTTGTTTATTCAAAGGAAAAATTTGTACATCTCGAAAGGACACATATGTTCACTAATTTGTTTGGAAGGACTTCTAAATTTAAAATAGTCTAAAAGGACCTTATAAGTCTATTTTGTTGTTTGGAGGACCTTGACTCTGGAATCCGACAATTGACTTTTTTTCCCCTAGCGTTGACCTCACACATAACCTTAAAAAATGACCCTCCCCTCCTTTTCCCACGTTTTTCCTCCAATTCCTCTTCCTCTCTCTTCTAATCCCTAAATTTTCTCTCTCTCCCCTACTATTCTCTATCGAATATTCAATGAAGGTGTGAAGAATGAACTCTAGAAATAATTTATCTCATCTATCAATTGAATTCGATTCAGAAAGGAGTGGACTTTTGTTGGTATAGGTATGAATATCCTCTTTTCTCTCATCTGTAGGTCATTTTCATTTCCTCTTTTGTAGATCAACTTTTTTTTTTGCTCTTTTATGGCGAAAGTAAAAAAAAAAAAAAGAGAAAACATCCCGTAAATTACGCTTTAACAAACAAAAACATATAATTTCAGAAGCAATTACATTACAAACCCTAATTTTGCAAACTATTTCAATTACAAAGAAATTGACGACAAAACCCACAAACATTGATCTTACCTAATGCGAAAAGTACTTAATTGAAATAAGATGGATATTGAATTTGTTTGAAAATACTAACATAGAAAGGATTTGGTGGAAAATTTGGGCAAAAAATGGGAATTGGAGGGAAAACTTGGAAAAAAGAAAGAGAGGGGGTCATTTTTATTTTAAGGTCACGTGACAGTCACATATAAGGTCAACGCCGAAAAAAAAAAGTCAATCATCGGATTCCGACGTCAAGGTCCTCCCAAACAACAAATTAGATTTATAAGGTTCTTTTAGACCACTTTAAATATATAAAGATCCTTCCAAATAAATTAGTGAACATATATGTTCCTTCCATACAAATTTTCTTTATTCAAATTTTAAACTCATTTTATAAAATGTCTATCAAGCATAGCTATTGATAACTTTTGTGGAAAAGGCACATGTTCTTCATAGGCTAATTGAGCAACACATTTGGGACCTTTGATCTTTATAGTTGCATCTATTTTGACACGCAATTAAAGAAAGACAATAGCATATTAATAAGAACATGTGTTAAGATCTAAATGTTTAAGATTAATTCATCTGTTTACCTTCTTTAATTCCTTTAATCTCAACAATATTAAATTAGTAGATCGACTTGTACCCTAATAATAAATAACTAGTGTGTGTCCCGGGCGATGCCCCACCCAAATTGCTAGTTTGTACTTCTTTAACTTGATAATTATGTTCAAGTGTTGTATAGCTAGTGTGTGATTTGGGCGTTGTCCCGGATGTTACGGTCTTTTTTTACTACATATGTATTTATTTTCTAATCTTGTGAAAAATAAATAAATTAAATAAACTCTAATTTAAAAGGAATATATAATGTTAAATATGCGAAATTTAAAACACAAATAAAAGTTGGTGGAGATGGTAAGTGTGTAGCACTTATTGTGTGAGGTTGAGGGTTCGATTCTTAATAAAACCATATTTTATTAATTTTGTTAAATGAAGTCGCAAGCTTACGTGTTGCTGACGTGGCATTATGACATGTTGTCATATACGTTGAAAAGTGTCACGTGGCACCGTTCCTTTAAAAGGAACGCCTTTTAATATACTTTATAGATATAAAGTCCAACCAAATAATTGAATTTTGTATTATCGACCATTTTGCTCCCCTATCACGATCAAAACAAGGTTGCACCCAAACATGTCAACAAGGTGTTTACCAAATCTTTCAGGTTTTTTTTTTTTTTTTTTTTTCTTTTTTTTTTAAAAAAAAAAAATTGGGGAGAATCTTTCTCAAATTCAACTGTATGGCGGCTACCTAGCTTAGCTATCCTAGAAGAGTACAATACTAGGATCTATCCTATGAAAGCTGTACAAGCTGTATACATCACGAAAAAAAAAACTAACTGTAGGAAAAGACAAAAATAATACAAATGTACAGTTCAGATTTCTTTGATTTGGGATCAAATTAAAACACTTGAGCCAAAATTATGTAGTACATCCTATATTTCTACATTACCACAATCTCTTTTGACATTCACATAATCATCCTACCATTTGGTAAATTCTTTTGTAGAGTGTTATTTTGGTAAATTCTTTTGTAAAGTAGCTATTTTGAAAAATAGTTTTACAAAATTAGTCATTTTTGTAAATACGATCAAAACACTGATATTTAAATATGATAAAATAACTGCTAAGTACGATAAAAAAATATTTAAATATTCTATATTATTTTGTCTTAAAAATTGGTTCAAGTAAGGGAAACTGGGAAAGCATGTAGCCATGTAGGGTTTATTCCCCCCCCCCCTTTGGCGCAAAGGTTGTGTATTTGTTTCATAAAAAAAAGTTGTGTATTTGTCTATAAAGTCAGCATCATTCTTTAATTTAAAAGCTTTGAGAAGAAATTTTAGCAATCATTAAGTCACTTAATTATTTTTATGTAAATACTAGTAGGAGTATAAAATTAGAATAAAGCTCTTAATAAATAATATCACCCAAACGACTAATTTTTTCTTATTATTAAGAAATAATAACTCTACGTCAACATGATGCAATGCTAAGCCTTAGCTTAATTAACAATGTAATGACAACTCCTGATAATGATTAAGAGTATAATATAGATTATAAAAGAATTGTTAGGCGTAATAAAACAAACCTATTCATTCTTTGTGTTCACACCATTAGATTCTTTGTATTTTGGTAAAGGAAACGATGAGAAACATGAGCTTTTGTAAGCCCTGGTTTTTTAAATCGCACAGATTTTCAGATGATGAATGCATTATTCCAAGTAAGTTCTTTCTTTTTTGTTTGTTTGTTCGGATGAATACATTTCCTCTTTATCGAGTCTTTGCTATTTTATTACATTGGTTGTCTATTTTATTATTGTCTACAAGAAGTCGCTTCTTATATATTTATGGACAATTTATTTCTAATATTATCTAAGTTATAGCTTGTTTACAAATAAATTAACCAAGTTTTTATTGGTCAATTTGGGGGTGTTTGGTACGAATTTTTGAAATAGAATGAAAAGGAAACGACATATAAGAAAGAGAAATAAATCATTACTCTATTACCTTTAATTTTGATTTGTTAGGTGAAATTGAATCACTTAACTTCTTTGTTTTTATTTGAGGAAGTTAAGGATAATGGTCACCTTAGGGCTAAATTAAGAGCTACATACCCTAGGTTGCGGTAACCTAATTAGCTTTTTGATAATGATTAAGAGTACTGATTAATTTTTAATTTTTTTTTTTGACAAAGCTCAGTTTATTTTCAATTTAATCATTCATCATGGTCGAATTTAAACTCATATGATTGTGAACTTTTCAAAAATAAAGGGTGTAAATAACTATTATTCCCTACGTTTTAAAATACTCCCTCCGTCTTTTTATTAGATGTCTATTTCTAGCATTTATTACTCACATAATAAAGAGAAATAAGCATCTAATTGAGGGATGGAGGGAATAACGATTATTTTGACCTTTTTCCACTAAATATAATGGGCTATACTAGGAGAGCCAACTCTTCAAGGCATCCCCGTTTTCTCTTACAAGGAGCTAAAAACTGCTACCAGTGGCTTCAAGGCTTCAAATAAAGTTGGAGAAGGCAGCTTTGGCTCTGTCTACAAGGTATAGTACTACTTCTAACTTCCTAATTAATAATACTACCCCCGGTTCAAATTACTCGCAACTTTGGGTATTACTTGTGAGATATAAAATATTCCAAAGTTGCGAGTAATTTGGAGCGGAGGTAGTACAAAGTTTTTTTTTTTTTACCAAGGTTAGCTAGTAGTGACATAAAAATTAGACTTGTTGATTAGCTTAATTATACCATTCTATTTGTTGGACATTTGAAGGGACGCCTTCAAGATGGATCAATCGTGGCAGTTAAAGTACTTGAACTCGAATCATTGCAAGGAGAAAAAGAATTCATATCCGAAATCTCTATGTTATCAAACATTACACATGAAAATCTCATCACCCTTAAAGGATGCTGCATAACTTCTACCAAAAGATTTTTGATCTATGACTACATGGAAAACAATAGCATGGAACTGGCCTTCCTAGGTACTATACTAAAAGATCGAGTTCATTCGATATTGATTTTCTGAATTCAAGATATGATCATATATGAAAAATACATACAGGAGGATCTGAAAGCAGAAGAAAGTTTAGTTGGAAAATGAGGACGAACATTTTACTCGGAATAGCGCGAGGGCTAGCCTTTCTCCACGAGGAGGTCGACCCTCATATTGTGCACCGTGACATCAAACCTGCTAACATACTTTTGGATAAGAATTTTGTACCAAAGATTGCAGATTTTGGTTTGGCAAAGCTATTTTTGGACAGTGTTTCTCATGTGAGCACGCGTGTGACGGGCACATTGTAAGTAGAATGATCCTCATTCCTCAATGTACATCTTCCTCCGTCACTTTGTCTATATGTTTGTTGTTAATCACAAGTAATAACGATTTTCGTTGCAATATCAAAACTTGAAAGGGGATATCTTGCTCCAGAATACGCAATTTCTGGTCATTTGACGAGGAAATCAGATGTATATAGTTTTGGGATACTGCTATTGCTTATTGTTAGTGGACACAAAGCCGTGGACTACAACTTAGAGCAAAAAGATGCATACCTAGTTACCAAGGTAATGTATTATTAGGCCCTGTTCACTTCACTTTATTTTTCCTAAACTGAAATAATTTTTAATAAACTGAGGCCCTGTTCTTTAGAGTTGCTTTGCTCTGCTCTGCTCTGCTTGGCCCTGCTCTGCTCTGCTGAAATCTGCTCTGCTATGGGTTAATATCAATAAACCAATAATTAATAATACTTAATAATTAAAGTGCATAATAATTAAAGTACATATTTAAAAATTATAATAATTAAAAATTCACAATACAAATTTTTTAATATTTATTAATAATAATGTCTAACAATTTCTAAATACATATTGATCTTAATAATAACACATAATACATGTTTTTTTTTTGGGAATAGTAATACTACATTATTATAATAATAGTGAAAATAATGATATAAAAAGGAAGATATTTTACTAATTTGTTACCTTTTTTATGTAAAGAAATTAAAAAAGTAAATTGAATTAATTAATAATTAAATCTAACACTACAATGTTGTAATAATTTGAATATGTAATAATTTGAATATTTTAAACCATTATCGTCTTTTATCTATTCACTATAAACATATGTTAACGTGGTACACATCTATTTATGTTTTCATTCACACATCAATTATAATAGTGGTATTAATAATAATAATAATAATAATAATAATAATAATAATAGTGGTAGTAATAATAATAATAATAATAATAATAATAATAATAATAATAAATTAATAATAATAGTTGTATTAATATTAATAAAAATAATGCTAAAATCTGCTTTGCTCTGCCCAGAAGCTCAAAAGAACAGGGCCTGAATTTATTTTTGTTGAACTTAAATTATATTTAATGAGCTGAAATTAATTTTACTGAACTGAAATTATTTGTGCTAAACTGATTTTCGACTATATTTCTTTTATAAAGATAGATACTAAATTTTTATTGAAATTTATTTTTATTAAACTGAAATTATATTTTACTGAACCAAACTTATTTTTATTGAACTGAAATTATTTTTATTTAATACTCCGTATTATTTTTTTTTAAGATTGAAGTGAACTTACAATTATTTTACATACATTCCATCCAATAACTCGAAATAATAGATCATATTCTTTCGTATTCATGAATTAGGTATGGAAGGCTTACAAATCTAACAACCTTCAGCAGCTGGTGGATCCCTCACTCGACGGAGATTACCCCGAAGAAGAACCTATCGAAGTGCTTAAAGTGGGCTTGCTTTGTGTGCAAGAGATATCCGGTCTTCGGCCTCAAATGTCAGAAGTTGTGAAGATGCTAGGAGATGGTAAAAGTAGGGAAGATGTATCAATATCCAAACCTGGTCATCTTCTTGATCTCATGTACTATAATATAGGGGATGATCATTCCCAAGATAATACTGCAATTAGCAAAATCTCTACCTCTTTCAGCTGTTAGCAACAGCACCACGATTGAGATTTGTGATATAAACTCTAATTGGTGTGAATTTTATTATTTATTTTTGTCACAAATACCTTTTAATTTTCAAATTTTGCAAACAATTATCTTGTAATTTTAATATTGTAAACAAATGAAACTAACTTTTCCTTTGTTTTTATTTTGATAACACTATTTGTTCAGGGTCCTGTCAAAAATAACGTGTAAACAACCCATATCCAACAATTTCAATAATTCACCTCAAATTAAGAACCCTAGGTCAGTTCCCGCCAAAAAAAAAAAAAAAAAAAACCTAGGTCAGTTTTTAAATTTGAAGAGAAAAACAAAAACTTGAGGGAATTACATGCAAATTGGATGTATAATAAACAAAAATAAACCACAAATATTATTTATGCTTGAATTCTATTGATTGAATTCCAAAATGAAACCCTAAATTTATAGCTTGACAAATTTTCCCAAATTGAAAACCTTGTCAAATTTGGGTGTAAATTAGACAATTTAAAACTATAAATTGTTTGGGTCCAATTTAGTCCAATTGGGCCTAGGCATTAAATGATCCAATTAAAAGCCCAAGGTCAAGGTTCATCTCTCCAATTGTGCTAAAGTCAGAGGTCAGCCCTCAAAGCAAGCCAATTGGGCTAAGGCCTAACTTCTCCATGTATGAAGAGGTATAAAAGCCATCAATATTACATTTTTATATTAGGATTCACATTCATTCACATATTCTCATATACTCTCATATATTCTCATATATTCAAGCAAAGCCTCAAGCAACTAATTCTCTTGCATAGTGTTCTCTTTCTACACATTGTACTGACTTTAGCATCGGAGGGGCCTTCCTCGGCAACACCCCCGAGGCTAGTTTACGTGTGTTTACTGTGCAGGAAACCTTCGGCCCAACATAACTTGGACCGAATCTAGTCTTCTCCGTTTCAGCGGACCTTCGGCAAGGTCCCATTGTTTCCAACCGAAACAATTTGGCGCCGTCTGTGGGGAAGACTTTCAAAAATCTTTAAGCCAAATTTATAACCAAGATCATCTTGCAATAATCTTAGTAGCAATGGCTAAGAACCGCTAGAGCAAAGGCCTCCGTCAAGGAGCGGGTGAAAAGCCTAAAACCCCTACACCATCACCCTCGCCGGACCGGAACTCTCCCAAGGGTGCCAGCTCGGGGGGGAGGATCATACAAGGAGGATTCCCTTTCTCCCGTAATTCATGACTCTCATCATAGGCCGAGTCACTCTCGGTCTAGCAGGGGTGAGTCCGATCATAGGACACATTCAGTGCCCCAAAGCCAACCATCGGCTGTGCGCCCTCATTCCCATACTCGGCCGAGGACCCCTTTGACGGGGCCCAGCTCGGAAGAGGTGGCAAGAGCGCTGGCAGTACTCATGGAGGCGATGAGGGCACAAAATATGCCACCACCTCGTGATCGAATTCCTCCGCATACCCGGCATCAGCGGAGGAAGCTAGACCATGATAGTGGGAAGCTTCCTTCCTTCCGGGAACTGGAAGAGTGGGAAGAGGATACCTGGAAAAATGAAAAAGAGAGGAAAAAGAACCCTCAATTTTTAAAAGGATCCTCATCCTCACGACCAGAAGCGCATAAGAGCAGCAGCTCAGCTTCTCGGCCAGAATCTACTCACCGAGAACCTGAGACTGTTCGCCGAAGCGTCCTCGACCGACTCGGCGGCAAGGAACCTAGCGTGCGCAGTCGCCTCTCGTTCCCTGCAGCCGAGGCCCAGACTTCCCAGCCAGGGACGAAAACCACTCCTACCTCTCTAAGAGGGCGGAGCGCGGTCCCTTCGGCCAGGAACAAGGGCAAGGTCGTTATGCTACCCGCCAGTTCACCATTCGAGCAATGGATACTGGAAGAGCGCGTGCCCGCGGTTAAAATACTGTCGCACATCACATATGACGGGACCTCGGATCCGAAGGATCACGTGGCCTCGTATGAGACTCAAATGCATCTTTGCCCCAGATCCGAAGCGACTTGGTGCAAATATTTCCCAACCACTCTCAAGGGGGTCGCGCAAGCGTGGATCTCCAAGGAAGTAAAGCAAGGCTCCATAACAGGGTGGGATGATCTGTCCTCCAAATTCAGGAGCAAGTTTTCCACGACAAACCGCCGAGAGAAGACTACTGCAGAACTCATGAGTCTACAACAGGGGGAAACCGAAAGCCTCCGAGACTATCTGACCCGTTTCAGTAACGAGTCATCCAGCGTCTCTCAGCTGGACCAGGGGCTAGCCGTTTTTGCGATGCAGAATGGCCTTCAGCCCGGAAAGTTCCTAGACTTCATGGTCATGCATACCCCGCAGACCTTGGAGGAAGCTCTGAATGCCTCGGATAAGTTCATCCGAGCCGAAGAATGGAACAAAGCGAAAACCCAACCTCAATTTGGGGGAGGGAAACAAAGACAAATACCCTTGTCTGAAGGCCAAGGCCATAAGGAAAAGGGAAAGTCAAAGGCCTCGGAGCAATCTTCGGCCAGCGACCCAAAGAAGGAAAGATCTGCCTCATACACAGGCAGATACGAGTCCTAAACTCCGCTCTCTCTTCCACGCGCCAAAATTTACAGCGTGACGAAGGAGGAGCAGAGTTACCGAAAGCTGAGACCACTCCCAGAGTGGTATCAGCGAAACAATAAAAATCAGTGGTGCGAGTTCCACGAGTCTTCGGGACACAACACTGAGGAGTTTATCCAACTGAAGGACTAGATAGAGGACATGGTCCGGAAGGGATACTTGAAAAAATACATCGCGGATCACCGCGAGAAAAAAGAATCCGAGAAGTCAGCAAAGGACTCTCGGCAAGACCTCGATTTCCCCCGAAAGAATAGTAAAAAGACGGAGGGGAAATTCCCTCCGATCAATGTTATCTCGGAAGGAATATACTCTCGGAGGGAGCACAAGCGACACCTTAGAGCTTTGACTCACCAGGTGAACAACGCTGACATTCAATCTCCCCAGTCGCCGGTGCCGAACATGACGTTCACAGCCGCCGACTGCCGGGGGATAGCGTTCCCTCACGAGGATCCGTTGGTGATCATCGCCACGGTGGCCAACCACGACGTCAGTAAGGTCCTTGTTTACGGTGGCAGCGGAGCAAACATTCTGTTCCGAAAGGCCTACAATCAAATCAAGTTGAAGCCCAAGCACCTTACGCCGGTACCCTACCCGGTATCCGGGTTCAACGGGGCTTCAACTTATGCAGATGGGAAGGTGACACTTCCTGTCACCATCGGCTGCGATGAGGCAGCCAGGAACGTCATGATTGAATTTTTGGTCATTGACGCTCCTTCAGTGTACAACGTGATTTTGGAGACCCATAATTCATGAGATCCAAGGGGTCGTCTCAACTTATCATCAGCTGATGATTTACGTCTCAGACGCCGGCTTCCCCGAAAGGATACAGGGCAACCAAAAGGACGCCCGAAGGTGCAACTACCTCAAGCCATCCAGTAGTCGCCCTGATGACGACAAGGATGAGGAGGAGAAAGAAAAAGAAAGAGAGCCAAGCACAAAAAAGCCGAAAGGCCTAAGTGCTTCGGCCCAAGGATCTGTACCCAGAGGTAAAGGGCCCGAAAGGGAAAAGGCTAGCTCTTCAGCTGAGCCGCAAGACTCAGAGAGCCAGCCGAAGAACAAAAAGACTGGGACACCTGCTGACATTGGCAGCAGGCCAGATTATGAAGAGTCCAGTCCATCAGCAATGGACATGGACCAACAGACTGAAACAGTTGAGTTGGCCGAAGGAGACGTTGAGAAATGTGTAACAATCGGGATGGACCTTGATCCGAACACCCGTTGTGAACTTATTCAGCTCCTTCGGGACAACAGAGATGTGTTTGCTTTCTCGGCAGCTGATATGCCCGGGATAAGTTCAGACCTCATCTCCCATAAGCTTAATGTTGACCCAACGTGTCGACCAGTTAAGCAAAAGAAGCGGAATTACTCCGCTAATAAGAACCGAGACATCGCAGCCGAGGTCAAAAAATTGCTGGAGGCAGGCTTTATCGAACCTTGCCAATATCCAGAATGGCTGGCAAATGTGGTGATGGTTCAGAAGCCCAATGGTACCTGGAGGATGTGCGTTGACTTCACGGACCTAAATAAGGCTTGTCCGAAGGATTTCTATCCCTTGCCCAGGATCGATCAGCTAGTCGATTCAACAAGTGGCCATGCCTTGCTTAGTTTCATGGACGCATTCTCGGGGTATCATCAGATCTTCATGCACCCCGACGATCGAGCAAAGACAACATTCGTCACGAACGCTGGGGTGTACAATTACAAAATGATGCCCTTCGGATTGAAAAATGCGGGGGCAACCTATCAAAGGCTGGTGGATCAAGTTTTTGCCGATAAAAAGGGCCGAAACATGGAAGTCTATGTCGACGAATCGATCGTCAAAAGCAAAAAACCTGAGGACCATGTAAAGGACCTGGCTGAAACTTTCGCCACCTTGAGAAAGCATCAAATGAAGCTGAATCCGAAGAAGTGTGTCTTCGGCGTGAAGTCAGGGAAATTCCTTGGGTTCATGGTCAGCAAAAGGGGGATTGATGCCAATCCCTCCAAAGTCAAAGCGACGCTCGACCTTCCTGAGCCGAAAACGAAGCGGGATGTTCAGCGGCTCACCGGAAGAATGGCAGCCCTCTCGAGGTTCATTTCCAGAGCTTCGGATAAGGGGTTACCTTTCTTCAAAGCCCTGAAACTCCCGAAAACAAAAGAGATCGTTTGGGAGGAAGAGCAGAAAGACGCCTTTAAGCAGCTTCGGAAGCATCTGGCTCAACTCCCAACGCTTGCTAGCCCAGCTGAAGGAGAAACTTTGTACCTGTATGTGGCCGTTAGCCCAGCCACCATCAGCGCAGTACTACTGAAGGAAGAAGGTAAAAGTCAGCAACCGATCTACTTCGTCAGTCATACACTGACGGATGCCGAGACTCGCTACCCTCTACTCGAGAAAGTCGCTTTCGCGGTAGTAGTAGCTGCTCGGAAGCTGAGGCCCTATTTTGATTGCCATCAGATAGTGGTCTTAACTGATCAGCCGTTGGAAAAAGTTCTCGGCAAGGTTGAAAAATCTGGTAGGCTAGCCAAGTGGGCTTTTGAGCTCACCGAATTCAGCATCAGCTACCGTCCGAGGGCTGCCATTAAGGCTCAAGCTCTAGCGGATTTCTTGGCCGAATGCTCATACCAAGAAGCGCTAGACAATGAAAAGAAAGTCTGGACCGTGTTTACGGATGGATCTTCCACCGAAAACGGTTCGGGGGCAGGAGTAGTGATAACTTCT